AATATGTTACAATATACATTATTTTTAGGGCTAGGAATCTTAAATTCTTTTACAACCGTCGAGATGATTGATTTGAAGGTTTTTTTATGCCCGAATCACAATTTTTGTTGAGTATTGAGGTGAGGCTCTACTGATTTTGATAGTGCTGCGGCCCTATCAAATTGAGTATTGAGGTGAGGCCCTACTTGTTTTGAAAGTGTTGCAGCCCTATCAAAACATTTTCCTTTGACATCTTACACATTTTTTTATTTAATTTTAAAATAGCTATCAAAATACGCTTGATTTTGACTTGAAATAGTAGAAAAAAGGTAAAATGTTAAATAATTGAAAAGTGAGATCTATTTTGATAAATGTTACAAGAACATTAGGTTGAAATTACAAAACATTTTTTTTAACATAAAAATAAAGAATGTCTTCGTTTTTTTTACCAACTAAAAAATAAATAATTATTCGTTAGAAAAGCCACCACCACCATTGTAAGAAACTACGTATGGTGCAGAGACTCTTGGCAGCCGCATACTTTCACGCACACTTTATATTTTGACGGTTTGATGTTTCTTGTCAACTTATATCATCCATTTACTCTAAGGGAAAAGTTTATATAGAGCCGAGGTTCTAAATAATCAAATTATAGCCCACCTCAAAATTTTCATTAAGAGTTGTTTGATGTCCAAATATCCTCGAATTGAGCATCCCGGCATCAAGATGCATGGACATGAGAAAAAAATGGATTTCAAGTTTTAAAAGTTGTGTATATTGTAACATATTTTTGGACCTTTAATTTTCAAGTTTTTAAAGCTCTACTTGATCTACACTATTTTTTAAGCTTTAAATTTTATAATTAAATATAAAATTATATTTTAAGGCTATCACAGATATTTTCAATATTGAAACCACATTTCTCGATACTATTTGAAAATTTATTTTACTTTGATTGTTTAGAACCTCAGCTCTATACAAATCGCACCCTTTACCAAATATATCGTAATAAATAGATCTACATTGCCGATGCCGCTGCTGACCTACGTAGCAACGATTTAATTTAGTCATAAGCATAGTTTACAATGTGAGTAACCATCTAATACAATAAGAAAATGATAATAATTTAAAGAGATTGTATACTGTGATACCACTTATTATCGTTACAAGAAGCCACAATACTCCAAGTCATTAGAGGGCGTTTGGATACCTGAAAATATATTGTCTTGTGAAATGTATTACTGGCGTAATACATTACCTGTAAACGGATTGTCCCTGTTTGGGTAGTATTTAGATGCAACTCGGAAAATATTTAGATGCAATCAGGGAAATATATTATTACTGTTTAGTTATGTCTAGAAGAAATATGTGAAATGCATTACCGATATTTTTTTTTTTTTTGGCTTTATATCCAAAACATGGTTTAGCATACAATCCTTATTAGTACGTAGCTTAAACTTTATCCCTATTTGTATGTAACTTAAACTTTATAATTGCATTAGAATGAGTTACACCTTTTGTATGCCTTTGTGTCTTGACTTGGAATCACATGTTTTCAATATGTTAACACTTTGGAATAACATACTTTTATTATGATAAGCTATCATATTTTTTATGTTTTTTTTTTCTTGTGCTAAAGCCTTTCGATCTTCCCATGGACAAAAAAAAAAGTTGGGAGAAATTTGGCTCTTTCGATCATCCCATGGATAAAAAAAAAAAAAAAAGGTTTGGAGAAATTTGGCTCGTAACTTAGAAGGTTTTATGACTAAATAAGATGTATTAGAGGACAAATAATGTTGGGCATTGGAAGAGATTGAAGAGGCAAATTAATTTAAAAAAAAAAAAAACAATTCAAGTATACTTATCGATTATCTGCGAGTGAACTCAAGTATTTCGAATTTATCAGCAAACAATGACAGCAAAAAAGAAAAAATAAAGCCAAATTCATTTATTTTTTGGAACAATAGCTATTGCAGAATCCAAAAAATAAATCTTCGATAGCTATCATTGCAGACAATGGGACTGACGGGTTTTAGCGGATAGTAGAAGAAACTAAGCTGGTAAGTTTTAGCGGCACGTTAGAGAAGATGGGCCGCTGTGTGATTTTTGAGGCAATTTGGCAAAAGATGAGGTTATCGCATTTTAGTTTGAAAAACTTTTTTTTATTATTATTATGGTTTATTAGGAAACGAATCACGGGATTTAACTTTTTTTCTTATTATTATGGTTTATTAGGAAACGAATCACGGTATTTTTTGATAGAAAGACGAGGTGAAGGATTTGCCCCAATTACCTCGATTACCCATCAAAGGCAAAATAGATTTTTTTTCAATTACCCGTGGGTAATAGATTTTTCACTTTTGACAATGTGTAATAGATTTCTTGATTTTTGGTAAAATCTCGGGTAATCTTTTTCTATTTTTCTACCATTAAAGTGTACCCAAACAATAGAAATGTTATATTTCCGTATAATCTATTTTCATATAATAGATTTTGAAGTTGGCCACTACATATCATATTTAATTGCTTAGGATGTGTCATAAAATTTTGTTGGGACTTTGAATCTAGTGAGTGATACATTACATATATGGCTTTAAGAATGTGTCACAGAGTTCAATGGATTGTTTTTTAAGTGTTTATAGATATGCTCGATCAACACTAATTTTAAATTTTAAAATTTATAGTTTGAAATGAAAATAAATTTTCAAGGCGTCATAAAGATTTCTGAAACAACATATTCCGCACTATTTGAGGATGGACCCTATTTTGATTGTTTAGGGCCTCACCCTTATACAAACTACACACTTAACTAGATGGGAATTTATCAAAAAGCACCCAAAAAATTGAATTATTTAACATCTCAACTTCTTTTAATTTCAAACTACTCATATTTAATATCAAAATTCCAGCGAAAGATGCAAATAATGGTTAGAATTTTTATAAGGCTACCTCTGGAAGCCTTCTTCCAAAGCATCACACACTCTCTCTCTCTTTTTGGGTAAATCAGTGAGGGAGAGGTCCCTCTCCGGGGAACTTATGATCCTTGCCGTTCCGTACATTCCGAGCTCACTCGCAAAGTTTTGGCATGTCAGGTCTCTTTCAACTCGGCTTGATGATCGCTCATAGCTAATATAAGTAAGTCGGTTCCCGAACTAGCTAGTGCTCAAAAGTCACTTGCGAGATTGAATATGGGTCCTATTAAAATAGGCTATAACCGCAAAGAGAGATTAATATTGATATTCATTGTTACAAAATACGCCAAACCAACATCATTATCGGTATCTGAGTACGCCGGTCGACCACAAGGTCCTATGCTCACAAGGGTGTTACTTTATTTGGGTGAATAGCACGCCCGTTACTTCATCTGAGCATCTCTTTACGTCGCTATCCCTTTCTATAATCCTCTTTTTAACAGTATGCACCATCAGCCTTTTCTTTTATCTTAAATAGAAGCTCCAGCAAAAAAACAAAAAAAAAAGGTTACGCTAGAGAGTAGAGAGAGAAAGAGAGAGAGAGGGGCTATTTTTTTTTTTTTAAAAAGGTTATTATAGAAGCTCCAGCAAAAAAAAGTTGGGGCAAATATATGGATCACTAAAAATGAGGCAGAGCATTTTAAAGTTAAAGAATGAAAAGAAATTGGATATGTATCGGTGGCTTAAGTAAACTTATTGCGCGGTTGCAATAAAGTCGATGAACAATATTTTTTATATCATGGCTTACAGAATTTAAGAGGTGTGATTTGGTTTAAATAGAATGTTAAAAAAATTGAAACCACTTAGACAATCTTGATCATTGGAGTGACCCACTATCTTTTTTTTTTCCAGTGATGCTCTTGATTAAAGAAAAATAATATATTTTCCTTTATTGTGTTACTCCTTCTTTAACTTTACAATTAAGAACGGTTGTTTTCAGAGAATATTTTTTCTGGAATATATTTGGTAATTGTTTTTAGTAATAATGTTTCTTTTGGGAAATATGTCTTTCTACGAAACTTTGATAAAACTTTTGATGGAATTATTTGTTAAAACAAGATATTTAACTAATCCTACTTGTAGTAAGATTATCAAGACCCAAACTAAAAGATTTTGAAGTCACTAAGGAAAAATTAAATTTTGAAAAAGAGGACATTAAAATTAGGAAGAAGTTTTTAAAATTAAAAATTAATAAAATGTGCACGTATGTTGGTTTTATAGAAAAATATGATTTTTCAAGATCTTTTGAATGCACAAAACATTTTAACGAAAAATGAGAGACCTTCTAAAAAAAAAAAAGGAACCAAATACAACCCCTGGCAATGGATCGGGCTTCCTGGCCCAACCCAGTTAGCCCGGCCCTAAAAATGCAAGGATAGGCTACAATTTGTAATCTTGGGGGTTGTCCGGGGCAAGTGTCGTCCTAGTTTGGGCCTCTTTTTTCTTTTTTTCATTTGTTTCAGGTCCGGCCAACCAGGCTTGGGCCAACGTTATGGGAATTAGGATCAGCTCATGCCCTTAGCCTAAGTCAAGCCAGTTTCCACCCTTAATTACATAGGTTCCTCCTGGACTAATGAGAAGGCAAGAACTAGAGAGCAATCAAGGGCCAGATCTTGGCCTTAGCCTAGGTCCAGCTAGTCGCCACCTTTAATTACACGGGCTCATCCTGGACTAATGAAGTTTTTACAAGACTTATAGTTTTATGAAATCAAAATAAAGCCTCACCTCAATTCCTCATCCCGAAAATACTTTTGGAACAAAAATCTCCATGATAGCTTTAAAATCAATTTTTAACACAACAATAAAATTTGAAACTAAAAAAATAGTACAAATCTATGAAAACTTACTTTTAGGGTGAAATAGATAACTTAAATAATTTGTTATATTAGAAGTTGTTTTTAGTACTTTAATTTTTTTTTTTTTTTTCATAACCATAATATTCAGGCCGAGCCGAGACCATGATATGAAGGTATTGTAAAGGCTTGAATTGCAATATTTTGATGAGTCATGAAGTACGACTTTAGGTCTTCCAAATGCCTGAATTGCAATATTTTGAGGAGTTATAAACTGAGACTTAAGGTTTTCCAAATGCTTGAATTGCAATATTTTGATGGAATTAGGAAGGGAGACTTTACTCATTTGGATAATGATGCAATTTCATGTATAAAATATCGCCGACAGACAGTGACCGAGGAGTTGGAGATATAACTTTTCGTCTTGAAGGGGAGTGGAGGCAAGCCAAGGGAGCTGAACGACCTCCCATCCATCCTTTTCTTCCCCTCTCAATTGTAAAAACTAAAAAGAAAATTTCGAATTCCTGAATTGAGCAGAACCAGAGGGCTCAGGCCATGGTCTAGAGACAAGGATTTCACTCTCTCCTTCTATTTCTTCCTGTCTGCCTTTGTCTCTCCCAAGATGGGAAACAAGTGTATTAGCTTAGATGGAAGAGGATCGAAGCGCCACAGCCCGAAGAAACTGCGATGGACCTCCCCGACAACCCGTCCTCCTGGCTCTGCTCGAGCTCCTTAAAGAAAAAATTTCATGTGTTTGAAATTTAAATGGGTTCTTCATTTTTCGGAAGCGATTTCCTTTGTTTTTATGGTAATGGTGATGATGAGTGTTGTTTTGATTATGGTAACGGGGCTGTGGGTTTTGGGGGTGTTATTGGAGAGGAGTGGGGTTGGGGCCGTAAGAAGGCGCTGGTGTTGGATGGGTCGAGGGGGGAGCTGGTGGAGGAGGTGCCCAGAGCGGTGGTGACCGAGGCTAAGAATGCAGCAGCCCTCAGGAGCCATAGTGACGCGGAGAGGCGTCGAAGGGAGAGGATCAACGCCCATCTTAATACTCTCAGAGCCCTTATTTCTGGCCCTAACAAGGTACTCTCACACACATAACCGCTGGTTTTTTTTCCTCTTTCTCTTTAGCTGCATAAAAATCCATGTTCAACTCTAATTATGGTGGCTTAAAAATACATGTTCAACTCTAATTATGAAATTTAAAATTCTTCAAAATGGGGCAGATCGAGCGGATCTATATATACTTGAAAATCTTAGAATTAGATGGTCCAGATAGCTTGTTACCGGATGTACTATTTTTAGAACTTAAAATTCTTTTTTTTTCCCTTTATATCTATACTCTCGAGGTGGAGATGACTAATTAACAGGTTTTTCGACTTTGGAACTATCTTTTCTAGTAGATTTTTGAGGTGCACCTTACTCCTATAACATAAGGTTGCAACTTTATATTAACCTTTTCCAAAAAAAAAATGCCGGTAAAATAAAGTAATCCTGTTTTTCCTTTTCTTGGTAAAATGAATGACATGTCTATTCATTTTTGTGAAAGGTATATATCTCTAGCAAAAAGATATGTATTTGCACAAAAAAAACACGGATGTATTTTTCCTCTGTCTACCTGAACTCGCAAAACCATGGTGGACAATGCAGCCTTAATAAATACTGCATTGACATGTCCAAAAGATGGTCGTAATTAGGATAAAATGCAACATGACACCATAAGACTATGTCAATGGTATTTGGTGTTGAGTTGATCTTGAAACCTTTCTAGATTATATAATATGACACGTTATGTATTTATTGGAGCTTACGACTCTTTTGTCTGTATTTTGCTATAGTTTCAATGAATTGACCACTGTTTGATATGTTACCTATCTTATGCTCGTTTGTTATGAAAATATGTAAGTAATATTATGCCTATATGATTATATACTATGTATTTTCCATCATCTCTACCATCAATATCTGTACCATATACTATGCAAACAACGTGTATGGTATGCTTACCCTGTCCATAATAATCCCCCTATCATGAACCTTATCATGAGTTTGTCTTTGCATGAGCAGCTCCTATTGAAATTGCTAGTTCTCTACCATGTTCAAAAACTCAAACTTAATAGCCAACTTAGTCATGGCCACAAAACAAGTGAACTCGCTAAATTGAACAACAAACTCGGAAAAATTCAGCTGTGGTTCCTAAAGGATTTCATAGGATAGCTTACATTTTGGTTTCCTTTAGAGATACATACTGACTATGTATTTGAACGTTTGAAGGAAGCACTAGCCTTATTTGAGGAATCTAAGGGGTTTCTACAACATTGGTATATAACCATGCAATTTTGCGCTCCTTGCTAGGATCCAGCATGAAAATTTTGGCCTCATAGGTGTCCTACCTACAAAAGTTAGAATGAAATTGAGAACTTAGTACATTACATGATGGAAGCATGATTATGTGTCATTATCTGCTCCCATATACATTTTACTAGCTTTGCTTCGGTAAGAAATATGAGCAAGTAATATTGTTTACATTCTAAAGCTTTTAATCTCATTATCAAGTATAGGTTCTTGATCATTGATGACTTACATGGGCTTGACACCTCACTTGATTTGGACTCAAATTAGGGTAGGAACAACTCATGGTTTTTTAGGATATTTCTAAAACAACATTTTGAATGCCTAATGGCTAGTCCCGGATAACTTGTCATGCCCTTTAGTGTAACAGATGCATTTGCATCATTGAGACAGTATGAACCACATTGTATCAGAAGAGGGCATATTTAGTGGCACGAACCCATGGAAATCCAATGCGATTACTATAGAAAATCCTTTACTTTCTCTTTCTTGCTGTAGTCTCACTCCCAAAGAGATTCTGTATGCATTCCGTTTACTTAAGGTGGAATGAAACTGTAAAATTGAAGCATTCTTTATTTATCATGCTTTTGAAACTTACGAGATTTTATTGTAGTAGTTAATGGTAATGATTAACTCATTTGTCACTTCTTTTATTAAAAGAAATTCATTTGTGGTTGTCACCCCAAAGATGAATTGCGTCCTCAACCATTTCAACGAGGCCACATGTGCCTCATTATTGTCAAAAAGAAGGGACACCAACACATACTTCACCCATGCCATCAATTATCAATTTCTAAGGAAATTTTGGAAACTGCAACTGATTGTGTTCATACCTGATGATTTGCCCCTGATTTTTGTGAGTAAAGCCTTGCCCACTTCTGAAGAAAAAATTGTTGTGTATATTTCTCACTCTCTAAATGGAGACTTTTGATTGTCCTTCACTATTCATATGCACCACAAGTTCTTCTACTTTTGGAGCAACGCACAGACAGGCTCTTTGATGTGATTGTGAAATTGTATATCTAAATTGAGAGGAATTCAGCTTTGGTTGGTCACCTTGAGGCAGATTTGACGAAAAGCCATAACCAGAAGCAATTTGGGATTCTTCTTTTCCCTATATCAGTCAGCAGTGCCCCTCTCCTTACTTTTGGTTTTTGAATTCATTGTCATTTTAGTCTTATTGGATTTGAGGGGCAACACCTCATTTCACTTCCTGGGGCAAATCTAGTAAGGGGTACTATGGGGATAGCATGGTGGGGCTTGCTGCTGCCATCACCATCCAAGAGGTTGTCCCTCTTTTAAAAATTAATGGTAAAGGTAAGCTGAATATCTAGTTTTTCTTTCTAATCTTTTTGACATTAACCTTTTTTCTTTTCTAGGGAACTATTACAAATCTACTTAGAAAATGGCGAAAGTGACAATTCAAAAAGAAATCTTGACACTGAGTAACAAAACGGTCTATTCTACCCAGACAAACCTATCTGATTTTTATATCCTTCTAGAGGGGAATGCCATGACTTACCATTTCCCTAAGAAGGGCGTCAAGTTTGTGGCTCTTTTTTTTTCTTCATAGCATGTTCTACTATTTGGGATGATTTCTCTGTCTCACTTGTCGTGACTTCATTATCAGTTGACACTTTTACAGTAGTTTAAAACTGCACAGCTCTGTGCCCTGAGTACTCCTGATCTCGATCAACTCAATAAGACTTGGCCCAGTCTCAAGAGATTCGACCAGGTCTTTTTGAGGTTTGGCTGGCATGACTGTACCCCAATTTGGTTCGACTCAGGAGAGTCTTGAGTTAACTCACCATCTCTTTTTGATACACTGACTATATTACTTCTTGACAAATGACACCTGGATGTTTCTTGTCTTTTGCATTGACATTCTTTTGCATAATTCTTACCTAACAATTCCTAAAAACCTCAATAGATGTGTCCATAGGCTGAGGCATACTCAACATTGCCAGACATGGCGTGATATATATGGACTTCATAATGTACAAAACTTTGTGTTGTGTTGCTCCTCCATGTTAAATTGACTATGAGTTGGACTTCTAGATTTTTTTATCATTAAATTTGAATTGCGACTAAGGGTCCTAGTCTGCTATCTTTCAAATGTCATTCAACACTTTAAGGTAATGCTGGAGCAGCTTGAGGTGCGGTGTATGCTACGGATCCTCTTAATTGAAAGGTTTTTATATTGTTTATTATGATGTTTAGTCATTTACCCCAAAAAATAGCTTGTTTATAGGCAACTTAGCCATGCTGCAAGAATAATTCACCCTAAAATTTTTCTTTGATGTATTTTCTATTATGGTGATTGGTAAATAATAGCACAACGAAGATGTACTTTGCATTTGTCTATTTGATCTATTAAGTTGTTCAGCTTTAATGATTTCAATGATCTTATTACATTTCATATTCCATAACTCTTTGATTGTTGTGGAATTTATATCCTATATCTCATCCCAATCATATGAGTTTTGAGAGTTAGACATGTAGAAGAACATTTAAATTTGTGACTAATATGAATGAAACGAGTAAATATTTGTTTATCTTTTTTTTTTTTTGGAGAGAATGTTTAGTAGTAATATGGATGCAAAAAACCATGCCCTCTATGTTCTTAGTTATTCTTGGGTGCCTATAAAGATGTGAATTTTGATGGCTGAAAAGTTATCCTTGCTTTATGGTATTTTTTTTATCATTGCTTCGGATGAATGGTGAAAATCATCTGCACTTAGAATGTTTAATAATAAATGGGTAAGAATATTTTGTCCAGAAACTTTTGTTGAGAGCTTAAAGCGTGCGTGCATGCATGTGTGTGTGTTAAATTGGGACCTCGGTTGGAATGGAATAATTGATGTCATGTTGCGGCACCCTGCCCACCCTAAGAATACTTTGTCCAGAAACTTTTGGTGAGACCTTAAAGCGTGTGTGCATGCATGTGTGTGTGTTAAATTGGGACCTCGGTTGGAATGGAATAATTGATGTCATGTTGTGGCAACCTGCCCACCCTGACCCAGGCCTAGAGAATATTCCTACACATTAAAATGATAGTGTATTCAATGATAAGCTTTTGGGGGTAGCTTTACCTGACACCCTGTGTCCATGTTGACATTGACACAATTGTTTGTACGCATTGCTTCAGATGAGTTATTTATTTTAGTGACTTATTCCCCCCACTGCTCCCCATCCCCTTCCTACCCAACACCCACCCCGCCAATAACCCATCCCACTGGGCTTATAATAATCGATGAATAAAGTTCGAAGGGTGTACATGCTTTCTACCATTTACCACCACTGAATCTGGTGTCTTAATATTGTAGAGAAGAATTGCCATTATCTGTATTACCAATAAGGTGTAACATGTACACGGGCAAGCACGTCAGGTGCCAACATTTACATAGCGTGATTCACATTTATGGGTGCAGGGAACCAGAAACAGGAAGCTTTTCTTATTTGTGTTGTTATTACTGATATATAACTATTATTAGTACCTCAAGTGCTGTTCCTCCTGCTACCACCACTGCTGCTTTTTTTGATATCCTATTGCGACATGCATATTTGGTTAGCAGTCAAGCGGGTGTGTGTTAGTCATGGGCCTACCTTCAATTGTTGAAAAAATGAGATGTTGACAATTCACTTCAATAATGTGCTTCGAAAGACTTTATGTATCCATATTTCAGATCAATGAAATTACAACAAAAAATTGGTATTCACCCTACTAAAGAAAGGAATACACACAGATGGCTGTATGTGTTCCTAAGAATCTGGGACAAAAAACATAAACAGATTAATAGAGCTTTATTGTGTCATTGCTGCAGATGGACAAGGCTTCTTTGCTTGCACAAGTGATCAATCATTTAAGGGATTCGAAGAGAAAGGCAGATGAGATCAGTAAAGGATCCCTTATCCCTACAGCTTTCGACGAAGTCAGAGTGGAAAATGAGGCAGATGGACCTAATAAGGAAGGCGTTTTCCTAAGAGTATCTCTTTGTTGTGATGATCGGCCTGATCTTTTGATCGATTTAAAAAGGACACTTCAGAATCTTCGACTGAAAATAATAAGTGCGGAGATCTCAACTTTGGGTGGCAGAGTAAAGAATGTCTTTGTGCTGACAACATGCAAAGAAAATGGTGATGCTAACAAACACCAGGTATCTGCAAGTTCTGTTCATAAGGCCTTGAATTCTGTTGTGGACAGATTTTCTTCTTCGGAGTATTCAACGAGGAATTCGTTTTCAAGCAAAAGACGGAGGATTTCTTTGTTCAATTCTTCATTCTCCTCTTCGTAAAAGCTGTCAATTGAGTGACATCTGCCCGTCTTGAAGGTTTTGATTGAGTTCAACGTGTTCCTGGTGCTGCCAGACTTCTCTGAGTTCATTAAGCTGAGCTTTTATATTAGTCACTTCTATGATTATATATAGGCATCAATTTGGACATCGGTTGGTTCTAGCGAATTCTCCATGGTATCATGAATCATTGAACTTCCATTGTAAGAAGGTGTAATTGGTTTTAGCTTGTAAATTAAGATCTGTATGCAATGCAGTTGGTCATATGTCAATGCCAAAGTTGTAACTTTGACAGTCGGAAAAAAAAAAAAAAGTGTGTAAGTTTTGTGTTACTATTGATACTAATTGGTTGTTTTTGTTGTTGTTGAGTCACCATCTTGTTTCTCTGTATATCTTTACATAGACACATTTGGTTTCTCTGATTCACTGATTACTATTACGATGGTCGTTTATGGTGCTTTGCCACTGGAGCACATCCAAAAAGAGCAGATGGAATCATTTAACTTGTAGTGCATCTTATTTTTTAATTATTTTTTAACTGTTTGCATATTTAGAAATTCAGATTTTTCTCACTTTTTTGTAGGCAGTGAATGATGCTGCAAAGAATTTGGTTACATGCTCTGATAATTCACATGCCAAATGTGCTGATGAAGGGGCTGACCTGCTACATGAAGATAACGGAGGCAGGGTTAAAACAAAGTGGCCCCATGTTTATGTTGGAAAAAACAAGGTGGGAGAAGGGTTAAGATCTCTCTACCTTATAAACTTTACCTCTAGAGCAATCATATGTGAGTGACTCGATGATGATGGGAAGACGGATGATTACATGTAGGTGCCATGGAGAGGTGGGGTACTCATAGTGGCAGAGAAGGGGATGAAATGGCAGGAGAGCTACAAGAGCTTTGGGATGAGGTTCAACAGTTGGGCAAAATGCTCATGGTCTAGGGGTTTTCTTTTGGGTAGGTTGGTTAGTTTAAGTTGTAGGAGAGGAGAGAATCCTCTAGGGGGATTAAAGAGAAGTTGAAATACTTAAAGAATTAGATCACAAGAGATGAGTCAATGTGCCTAACAGAAGGGGTGAGTGAAGAATGTAGCTTAAGCAGAATGTGTTAAAGGCTAAGAAGTTGGTTAAGGGCGTAACTCGAATAGGGGGCCATAAAACCTATTCCATAATGTTTTATTGAAAGAGGTGAAGAAAATATTGTTTGCTTTGACTTGAATGAGTCTAAAAGGTAAGATTGATTCATGATGACTCCTTCCTTAAACCAATGTTTTTAAACTTGGCGAGTCTTACACAGAGTCACCTGTTTCTCTCGCTTACCGGCACCTGGCCTTGTTCTGGATGGCCCTGACTCGAATACTTGGATACTTTAATTTTGCTGAGTCTGGCCGAGTCTACTGCATCTGTCAAGGTCACTGAAAAAACTAGTGCTTCGGGTCTGAGTCTTGACTGGTCCGATTTGGGACTTGGCAAGCTGACTTGAACCCACCCCTTGCATGGTTTTGCGTCTTTGAGCACTGCCTAGAACCATTATTGCAAGGGTGAGGGGAATCATCTGATCAAGTTCTTCCTTGAGTTATAAGAAGTAATGAGCACACAAGGAAAAGGGAGGTGAATGCGTAACTAATCAAGAGGTTGACAGTGGGGGTGGAGCATACTAAGGATTTGCAGCCTATTGGCTAAGTAGGTAAAATGTTCTATTCGTAATGTTAAGGGAGATATTGGGGCCTTTCCTTTCAACCTCAGAATGTCTCCGATTGATGGGTGGACAACTACTGATTGGTGTGTTGTTGGGCTCATTTGATGCCTCGATTCTAGGGTGAGGGAAGGAAGGTTGGGGCTAGTTACAATGTGCATTTGATGCCTCTATGTTTCTGTTTAAGGCATGTGAATGTATCACGATTCATGTGTTTGCATGGGTTTTGCAACCCAAATTGTTCCCAGGCACGTATCTCATGAATGTATCTCACTTCAATGGCAGTATAAATGGATCTGACACCACGACTGCCCAAGTGCTCTATGGCTTTGTACATGGATGGATGAACTGGGTCCACATAATTAAGTGTTTAATGCTGGAACGGTTGAGAGGATGCATGCCTAAACCAAGTGGTCAAATGACAATATAAATGAATAAGCTGACTGCTATATCTTCTATGTGCTTAACAGCAGAATACATGCACAAACTTGATTCCCAAACGTCAGAAATCTTAATTACGTAGTGAAGACACTGGGTCCACACTTGAAGCTCCTACATATTCAATGGTGGGAGATTTGTGTAAACCATGCCTAAAACGCCTCAGGTGTTTAATGTGGAATAATTTGCACGGCTGATGTCCCGACATTGGAGATGGAATGAATCGTGAACACCAATGCACAAAATGTTTATATGGATGATAATCTCTGAATGAAACAGTCTTGTGGCCAAGTCCCATCAATGCACCAGACAACTCTACAGCTAAGTGCAATTATTGGTGCACAAGATAGCTCGTTTACCAAGTATCATAGTGCAAAATGGCTTCATAATTGAACACTCTACGCATGCTTAAACCAAGCTATAATATGGGAGGGTTTCCATATCATTTCATGCCCTTCCCTCAGAAATATTTAGCGTTAGCCTAGGTTGGAATGTTTCAGTGCACAAGCGCTACAAATGACTCAAAGAAAACATGAAAGAAATTTATGTTCGAGATGTACATAAGCAAAGCCAAAGAATTGACTATAGCATGTCTCGCTCTCTCCACCCTCGCCCTCTCCCTCCCACTGCCCATCCCACCATCCTCCCTAACTTCTGCTCAGCCACTCAACTTCTCTCTCATGCCGCGAACACCTCCTTTGTCCCTGCCCCCTCCTGTGCTCCCTTAACCTCTGCTCAGCCACTCGGCTTCTCTCTCATGCCACGAACACCTCCTTTGTCCCTGCCTGCCCCCTCCTGTGCTCCCTCTCTTCCTTTTACCACAACTACGCACACCTTCTCAAACCTCCTCCCAAGCACCTTCCTTCATCCCAACAAATCCGACTGCACCCTCCATGTGCGCCCCTCGCTAATAGTCTAGACCACCCCTGCTCGTCCGGTAAGCCTTCTCTTTCGCCTCCTCGTAACCACCCTCAGGACTTCATCTCCTTGGACATTCCTCATATCCATGAACTTCAAATGAAGCTTGCCTTATCGCTGGTCGGCCGCTTCTATCCCAGGAAAGGCGGCGTTCGAGGACTAGAGAAATGAGGACAAGATTTCTATAAGGAGCCTCATCTGGGATGCCATAAACTCTCTGATAGTTCAATTCTCTTCTTCTTTTCTTCGATGTTCAATGATCAGAAACCCTTCAGGCTGCTAGCCCTGGTTTTAGAGGCGCAACTTTTTCTTACCCTCAAAGCTTGGAGTCCAGATCTGGGGATTACCAAGAAACTTCGTATTTGGGTCATTTATTCTCACATTCCTCTGCACTTGTGGCACCCTATCACCTTCAAAATCCTGGGCGAACGCTTGGGCTCCTTAGTTTACATTCATTGGCAATCCCTGAAACAATCAAGCTCTTAGTGGAAGTGTTTGATCCCACTTCTATTCTGTCTTCTTTGCTCATTTTGACCCAATATCTTTTTTACGTAGTCTACGTCTCGTGCGCAATGGCGTCTCCCTCGCCACTTGATGAGACCCTAGAAAACCTATCCATGGAGGATGGACCCTTGTTTCTCCTAGAAGCGTAAGAAGAGACCCTGCAACCTCCGATTTCTTAATCGTGACAGCTCCTATTCAAAGGACATGCAGACTTGAACGACGATAATTGCCTACCCACCAGCCCAGGAGAGAAAGGCAACATAGCCAGACAGCTATGGTTTTCAATTGTGATAGGCACGATGCCAGTTCCTCAAGCCTTACTCACCCTGTTCCACATTGCACCGTGATACCCCTACAGCTGTCAATCGCCTCGGCCATCCCACCTACCCCTGATACATGCAGGCCAGGTGTCTACTCCTTCGGCCTTTTGCTTGCTTGCGAAGGCTCTCAACCTTTGCCTCCTTGCACCTATAGCCTCTCGCCCAGCCAGAGTGTTTGCCCCGCGAGTACAAGTACGAGCCCTTGTCCCTTTCGTATCGTCCTTTTGTCCCCAGGGCTTTGCCCCAATGCAGGGATGTTCACCACATGATGGGACCCTACTGCCAACCCTTCCTTCTAACAACTACTTTGGCCCTTCCACTTCACCCACCATTCCTCTTTCACCGTCACCTTCTTCTGTTTCACGACCACCCTCTTCTCTCTCCCCAACTTCGTTTGGTCTTTCTTTCTGACTCTCCTTTCGGCCCTTCCCCACCCTTTCTCTCTCCACCAACTGAGACCCCCAGCCGATATCAGAAGCCTCAGTCTCATACCAGTATAGCTTACACCTCCCCCTCTTCCAACCCTCCTCCGACATCCTCCCATCATCGTCCACACTCTACCTCTCGTTGTTCCTCTTCTCACTCGGCTTCCCCCTCCCCACCTCCTGACCCTTTGGGGTTTTTTATCACTAGTCCCTCGTGACCCTCAATCTCCTCCTCCTTGCCCTTCATGGATCCTTCCCCGCCAGCTGGCCTGCCTTTTTTGCAACCTCTCGATTAAGCTTATTGAGACAACCTTAACCCCTACCATGTTACCACACACTCTTACAACCTTTACTTCCACTTTTTTTTTTTCCAACCCAGCCCACCATCCAACCCCGGTTCCACTATTTTTCACCCTTGCCCCTACCTCCCTCTTGCTCATTCCTCTCCTTTATGGTCTAGAATCCCCCACCCCTCCAACTCTCTTCCTTCTCTAGTGCCCTATTGACCCACCCCTCCATTCAACCTCCCTTCCCCCTTGACTATTATACCTTCTCCTCCCTCTCTTTTTTCTTCCTCACATCTTCCAAGCTACCCCCCTCCCTCTCTCTTCCTTCTTCTCCTCCTTGAGCGATCAATTTCACCCATCGCTTATCCCTCACCGACCTCGACGCATCTTCATCGTTAGAGTTTAAATAACCTCTCTTCCCCCCCTCCCCTCGTCGGGGGACACCACCTTCGTCAACGAAATTGACGACACCCAAGGAGACATAAAGAAAGTCCTTAGAGTCATTAACTTTGGGGGCAAACCATAGGAAAGTGATGCAGCCCCTTCGCGCACTGGCATCCCATCTAGTTCCCCAGAACCTAAGAAGAAGAAGAAGAATGACTATAGAGAATTGGCTAGTCTCACATCCAAAGGCCGCTATTATTCAGGAAGGTATTCCAAGCCCCTCTCCTCCCCGGCTAGCCTTTCCCCCTCATCTACCTCCTTAAGGCGAATTACAAGGAGGCCTCACACCCTTTCACTCTCAAGATGAAAATACTTACTTGGAATGTTAGGGGCCTCGAG